CCTCCTCTGCCTAGTTTAAAGACGTTAGGTAGATCATCCATGTCCTGACCTGTCTGCAGATCCTAACTTTTTCCCATCAAGATGGCCAAAAGCTCCTTCCCACTAGAACTAGTGAACATCCTTCCAGTCAGTCTGGTATCTGCAGCAAAGCTACTCTCTCATCCCTAGTCTGTGCTCATCCAGTGTGCTCCACACCGCTGGTCATACTGCTTCCTTGTTACAGTGCCCAGCTCTGTGCCCTCCTGTCCAGGCCATGCCACCTTTCCTATAGTTCTGAGAAAGCAACAGTGTTTGCTGCACGTAGAAAGCAGGCATCCATCCTGGGCCTTCTCCATCTCCACAACATGCCTAAAAACCTATAAAAACACTATATGTTGTGTTTTCTTTGCGTCACACCTTAGGAAAGCAAAACGAACTGGTAGAACTCTATGTTGGCAAGGTGTTGATGTGCTGTGATTGTGGAGGAAGTGCAGTTGTGCTACAGGAGCGCAGCGTTCTCACGATAGTGGTACTCATCTTCAGCCAGGCTGTGCTTCCACTGTTTGTACCTGCTCTGGAGGTGAGACGAAGACGGGGAGATTGAGGTTTAGCTTTGTGCACCTCAGAGGATCTGCGCCTCAGAGGATCTTCCTCATTCCCATCCTTAACTCTTCACTCCCCCAGGTGCCCTTTGCTCGCTACTTGGCAATGAACAAAATCACCAACATCAAGCGCTACCACATCGCGAAGGTGTACAGGCGGGACAACCCGGCCATGACCAGGGGCCGCTACAGGGAGTTCTACCAGTGCGTGAGTGTTGTGGTCCCGGGCCAGGGGAGGGGGGAGAGTACATGGGTGAACAGCTGAGAGCCAGGCTTCAGCAGCTGCCCAGCTGTGCCAGAGTCTCTGCCTTTTCTTGTGCCTCAGGATTTTGACATTGCCGGCCAGTATGACCCTATGATTCCTGATGCTGAGTGCCTGAAGGTAGTGCATGAGATCCTGAGCGAGCTGCAGATTGGGGATTTTCTCATCAAGGTGAGACCAGAGCCAGGTATCTTATACACGTTTGTGCCTTCACTTCCTGGCTCTAGTGTGCTGTGGGATTGAGACACCAGTCAAAGGACGCAAGCAGACTCCCAACAGCTGTGCTTCTAGCACTCCTTGCACAAGGGCAGGAGGAAATTGCAGTAGAACATCTTTTCTGAGCTAAGCATGCTTCTCCAACCCTCAGGTTAATGACAGACGAATTTTGAATGGCATGTTTGCCATTTGTGGCATCCCAGAGAGCAAACTTTCAACTATGTGCTCTACTCTGGACAAGCTGGACAAGGTAAGCACTGTGTTCTTACAGCAGGTCACTTCCAGTCTCGGGTTGGATGTCAGGTGCAGGGCACTATCATAATAATTAAGCCATTACTAATTGTAAAGGACACAAAGAGATTCTGGGCTGATAGCAATGGCAAGAATTAAGACCTGGCATTTTCTGATCTTAGTTAACAATCTGTGTGAGATACACAGAGATCATTAGTAAGGACTGCTCACGGACAATTATGTTACATTATAGCATATGTGCTGGATACAGGGGCCTCTGGAGACTGTGTCTGATGTGAATGTTCTGCAGTGACAGATGCTCTTTATTCACCTTAGATGCCGTGGGAGGAAGTGAGGAGCGAGATGGTGGGAGAGAAGGGACTCTCACCTGAGGCTGCAGATCGCATCGGGGAGTACGTCCAGCTTCACGGTGAGCACGGTGGGATCCAGCCCTTGCCCTCCCCCCTGCTCTGCTGCGCTGCCCACGAGTGCAGCTGCTCTCCTCCATGCCAGGCAGGCCAAGGCCAGTGTCCTGGGCAGGGATGGAGGGGCACAAAGCAGCACACGCAGCAGCCTGGGTCGTTGCAGGTGCTGCTGCGCTGGCTGAGCTGAGACACAACTTGTCCCTGCAGGTGGCCTGGAC